GCTTGCTTTAAGTAATTTGGTAGAGATTTCATCATATCCATGTTATCTTTAATATGTTTCAGATTCTTTATAATACTATAACAAAGACGCCAGAAACCCGGAATAGTTGAGTTATTGCTAGTATGTGGTTGACCAAAGAAATGTCTCCAGCTGCAGAAAGCAAAACACAACTGCTGAATACACAATATCCAAATTTTCTCGTGCCAATGCAGCTGACGTTTCATAAAGCACTCACTTATGTACGATATATGAAGCTATATAATACGGGAATGCGCACAATGTGCATAGAGTAATTGTTTTCTATTCGCGACTGTATTCGGTTATTGATGTGGTTAAGTTTTTGCAAATGGTAATGTGGTATCTACTGCACTTTTTATCACAGTGTTTACACACACACGCGTCATTTGCTTCGTGGAAACGTTCGTTCTTGCATATCTTGTGGTGGAATCCGTGTGTTGCCAACCTAGTAATTGTGTGTCGTAATTTTCTGTTGGGTCCTGTCCAGGTTCTGTCAGTCATTGCATCAGTGCTGTAGAACTCTTCCCATATTTCCTCTCTTTTTTGTTTTCTTTCTTTGATAACTTCCTCTGAGTTTTTTGTGCTTGGCAGTTGATATCTGAGTTCTTCTAATAGGAAATTTTCCTTGCAGAGTTCGTATGTTAGTCTGGATTGTGTGTTCTTAGGAAGCCCTAGCGCTAGTTTAAGGTATCTTGCCTTCACTTGTTCCATTTTCCGCAGGTTTTGTTTGGATAGTTTTTCCCATGTTATCTCTATGCCATATAGTAGTATGGGGCAAATTTTTGCATGGAATATTATGAAGCTATAAAACCTCTTTTCCACGTTTATAGCATTCAGACACACAAAAATAAGTCAACTGCTGCACTTCGCAACTACTTGTTGACAACCGTGACCAACGTTGCAAAACACAACTTTCTAACGCAGGAATTCTAGAATTCTAGAACCTCTAGCGGCAGAACCAGTAACTTAAAGTCACGGATCACATCCGAATATTACTTACTGAGTTACAGAGTTAGTAGAGGGTCCGTTGAGTGTAACAATTTGTAGGTCAATTTTTTAATATCACTTCTGCCTTACATGTTTTGGTTTGATACAACCATCATCAGAGGCACTTGCTATAACTATGGAAACACTGTTGTTGTTTATGATGTTCACAGTTATGTTTGTCGTGTATCCGCTGCTACAATATGCTGACGTGTAAAAGCACAAAACTTACTAAGATAGTTGAGTACACTATCAAGTTCTCACTTTTCATCCGAAACTGTTTTAAGTTAAAACGCTAAATGTTAAAATATTTAATCTAAAATGCTTAATTCCTCCTTGTTAGTTCATCCCGAAGATGGGAGACGTCAGTTCGAAGTTGTATGGCTTATGGTTCGATGTTTGTTATGTGCTGTGTGTTGTGTACTTACTGACTTTTGCTTGGTAGATGGCACCTCGTATGGATGAGGTCCGTATTCATTATTTAGGCTGGATGGGCATAGCCTAGGCCTCAATTGTATTTACATTCTTTTTTTTCTTGAATAAAAAAAATATATTCATGGATAACTTATGTGCACCCAAGAAAGAAACGAGATATTTATTGTACTATTTGAGATTCAAACAAAGTCGGTTATGAAGGGGTCTGTCTTCTGGAATATAGCGCTGTGTAGTCCGCCGGACGACCGACGTTTCGGAGGCACATGAAGCAGGTAACAAATCTGCTTGCTACCCCTTATACTCTGATGTCATACTTGGCTTATTTTCGGCCCTGGCATGTTTCTCCATAATGTCGGTTTACTTTCAGCGGACTACACGGTGTTAAATCGCATATCGGTCATAACCACCGCTGTCTGATTAAAAAATCATAAAACTTATTGTTTATTATCCAACTATTTCATCGAGTGCAAAAATACAGATCAGCATACATTACCGACTTAAAGCAGTTGCGTTATGGTATAAGAAGGAGTTATATGAGTAGTTTTGTGCACTCATGAAATTAAAAAAGAAGTTTTAAGATTTTTTATTCATACAGAGGTGGCTATGACAGATATTCGATTTCACAGCCTGTAGTCACGTAAACTTCGGGGTTAGCGCCCTCCTATTAACCTTGCCTCTCTCGCCACGACACGATTTCTGTACTTGCTCGGGCCTGCTAACTGCTGGCTTACCTCTCCAGACCCTTCAACACTCCTCTCTGATGATTTCCCATGTAGCCCCTCACCGCTCTTATCCTCTTGCTAACTGCTGGCTTACCTCTCCAGACCCTTCAACACTCCTCTCTGATGATTTCCCATGTAGCCCCTCACCGCTCTTATCCTCCTGTTCTTATACAGTTCGACTCGACATTACTCTGTTAGTCTGTGAGTACTTGCGCGCACCGGCTCCCCGCTTAGGCGGTTTCTTCTTCTTTCTACCCTGAAGAC